ACACTTCGTTTTTGTTTTTATTTGATTACGTCAAAAATTAACAGATTGCTTAAGTGGAATACATCCATTATACGTTTGTTAGTTGGTATCGGCAGTTTGGACAGGTTAACCGACTGACTGTCTGGCAAACTGACTGACTGACTGACTGACTGACTGACTGACTGACTACTACGGGCGAGCTGACTAAATCATTGACTGTATAATCTAAGTGCATAATGGTAATTCAGTTATTTCAGTGTTTTAATTTACGGTGTTTGAAACTGAAACAAAAAAATTAGAAAAGTGGATAACAAATTGGCACATTCAAAAATTGGTCTATTTTTTACAAACTGTAAATAATACAAGTTGCTTTGATGTGAGTTAAAATGTAAAAAGTTGGATGAAAACACACACACACACACACACACTACTCATATCAGCATTACCATCAATACCACCACCAACAGTATCACTATCACTAACAAGCCATTAATTTGTGCAAATGTTTTAAGCTGTCTTTTTTTTTTTGTTGGCTAACAGATAAATTAAGAGGAAAAAAAAAGTGAACAGAAAATAAGTGAAAAAAAAAAAAAAACAAATGTGAAAATGAAATGACACGTAAAACAATCTAAAATTATAATGAACATTAAAACGCACATTTATAATTATTTTTACAAGCATTTTTTCTTTACCATCTATTATTAGCTTTTTTTTTGTTTTTTTTGTCATTGTTTTTCTGTTTTGTTGTCTTCAAAACTGAATTTATTGTTTTTTTTCTTTACTTTTTGCTTTTTCTTTATTACTAAAAATATACTGCAGCAGTGAATTTGTACCAACAGAGTAGTCGTCAATTTGTCAAAGAAAAGTTCATTTATAGAGAATTATTGGTCTATCTTCCGTAACTCCTCCTTTTATTCCTTTCATCGTTGTCAGTTTTTCTATCATTCTATCTGTTTCATTCCTCTAAAAAGAAGAAAAAAAAAAGTAGAATTTTTTTTTTCTTTCTATAGAGAGTATACTTATGCATATTTTTCTTATATAATAAACAATCGATAAATCAAATAAACTAAAAAACGACATCGAAAAACAAAAGCAAAACAGAAACAACAACAACAACAACAAAAAAAAACTATTCTGTTTTATATTTTATGTTTGCTTTTTTTTGCTTTTGATTTACTTTTGATTTTTTTTTTTCGCATTTATTCGTTTTTCTTTCCTTTTTCTTTCTTTAATTTTGCAACAATTTATTGCCAAATTTATAGAACATACCGGTAAATGCATAACTTAAAAGTGAAGAAAAAAAAATCTATTATTTCTTCGTTTGATATGAATGTTTGTTGGCGATACGTATGTTTTTAGTTGTGTTTGTTGTATTTCCAAGCATTAATGGGATACTGCAATGTTACTCGCTCTGTTTTCAGCAATTTGACCGTTCAACAGGTTGGTGCCAGTGATATGGTAGTGGATGAGAAAGATGAAAATATGTTAACACTGAAATCATGCTGAATATTCAACAAACCTCAACAGTTTAACAGCATTTGGTCAGTCGAAAAAAAAAAAAAAAAAAAAAAA